CGTGCTCCATCATCAGTCGGCTGGGCATGGCTGCGGGAGTCACGCAGGCGGCCATGAGGGTGGCGGTGATGGCGTCGCTCATGTCCTTCCTGCTGTGCGCCATGTACAGCTCCTCCAGCTGGCCGCTGATGGAGGGCATGCTGGGCTCGCTCACCCTGCAGGGCCGCGCACAGCACAGACATGCTGTTAGAGACTGCTTTAGGGGCCGGCAGGTGGCGTGGTGGTCAAGGGTGCTGGACTCCCACATGGCCAACTGCAGTTCGAGTCCTAGACCTGGTGGCTTGCTTTCTCACTTTCTCTCTCTCTCTGCCCCTCTCCGGTCAAATTAAAATAAATAACTAAAGTTAAATAAATTATTAAAAAGAAATTCTGCCTTGGTGCAATTGAAGCTGAAGTGTCACATCATCACTAACATATCTACTTTATGCAAACCTGACCCAAACAGGCTTTCCCTTTGGGGTTTGCTGTAGGTGCACGCATGCCCAGAGACAGCAGAGTCAGAAGTTATCCCCGGGGGTACAGCCAGGCTGCAATTCCTTCTCCTCCATCCTCCTCTCTGGATTTCAGCCATGCACGCACACATAGACAAGCATGTTTTTCAAGTCCTGGGTCTGGACTCGAACTGCATGGTCAGCCATGTAGGATCTCACCATCTTACCCACTGTGCCACACCATCTCTGGCCCAACCCGAGAACCATTTTTATCTTGCCCCAGTGACCCGATACATATTACTCAGCACCACAAATACTCTGGGATCTCAAAATAACAGCTTGTTCAGCTGCACTACGGTCCCAGTGAAGCACACTCTGGCTTGAGTCTGTAGAAACTTACGTGAGGACATGCCATGTGTCCTGATCAGGCAGGGACAGCCCTCAGAGAGTGTCAGGGTAAGGAGAGAACGCGAGGGAAAGGTGTGTAAGTGTTAGGAAAACGGCTAACTTCCCCATTCCTTAGGCGGCACAAAATCCTGACCTCCTAACACTCAGAAAAGGCCGTGTTGTTGGAGCGGGCAGGAAGGGGACGCCAGGCACGTGCGGGGAAGACCCATCACGGTGCACTGGTGTCAATGCCAGGACAGACACTGGCACAGCCTGGCACGGCACACTCGAGGACACGCCACAGAAACAGCGCTGGGCTTTCATTACAAAGATAAAAAGCAACACGGCAGGCTAGGGTGTGCCGAGAGCATAAACGAAGAGAGCGTGGTGGGGACAGCACAACTCCGGGCCTCAACTGGAGCGGGGGTTACACAAGCCTTACGTGGTACGACTACACAGAACTTCTCTCTCTCTCACTCACACACACGGAGACCTGACGCTCTGGGGGTTGGACCCAGGTCAAGGTCCTGTCGCTGTTTAACCTCCACTCTAGCTACGTAAGATGCACCCTTGGGGGTGAGTGGGTGAAGAGGATGCAGGACCTCCTTGTGCAGTTCTTGCAATCCGAGAAAATTCTGATTATTTCCAAATAAAAAGTTAAACCACTAACTAGCATACGTATTTGAAACCCAGCAAAACTTGTTGGCATGTCAGGACTGGGACAGTGACCATCCCTAGAAAGGTCTTGGAAAGGAGAATGGGGGCTTCTGGGTCAGGGCCCTGCAGAGAAGGGGAGATGGCAGGAGAGATTTTCATCCCCTTTTCAAAACTAGAGAGCCAGCAGGGGAGGGAACCAGGGCAGCCCTGCCTGAGATCGGAGCCAGCTTGCTGACCTCCTACTCTCACCGACAGTGGAAGCACGGCCCTAGTGAAAGGGCTGGAAGACCACGTGGCTGACCAGAAGTGCCCCCGTGGGGGACCATGGCCGTCCTCCTGCAGCCCCGGGAACCAAGAGAGGACGCCTGCCCAGTTCCTGTGTGCTTCTCCAAGTAGCAGTGTGGGCACTGGGGCTGCTAGTCACTGAAGGGCTCAGGGCATCGAAGAGCTGGGCTCCACCCCTCGAAGGTCTGGGTCTGGCTGCAGCGAGACAAGAGCAGATGTGCTCCAACGGAGCTGCAGTCCCTGCCCCACTGCCCGCGGCTGACTCCGAGCAGCGCCCTCCAGCGACAGTGCAGTGCTCTGCGAGGCTACCTGTTGATCAGGCCTCTCACGTGTTTCGTAAGCCTCTCCAGCCCCTCCTTTTTCTGGACATCCAGAGCCTCTTCCGCTTGCCTCACATGAGGAGGGACGTACTTTTCACCACGTTCACAAGGGCCACGCTGGAGAGAGAGAAATTACAGAAAACTGACAGTCAACGAATTCCATTTATCTCATTTTATGCTTAGATACTGCGTTCCAAGAATGGCCAGAAACTTCTACTATGACCCTGCTCACATTGTCCTGACCAGATGCGTCCACTAGGTCACGTCTGCCATGTCCAAGGGACACATTTCACTATCTGTCCCCCTGCAGCCACCTGCACTTGGCTGTGCACAAGGGTCCCGGCCTGATGGAACCCTATAGAGAACGCCTTTGCCGAGATGCAGGGGTGTATGGACAGCGAAGCTAAGCGTACCATTAGTTTCAGTAAAATGTCCTAAAATGATCTCAAACTAGTTCGAAACTATCCTGTGAATGTGTAAGATAAAATCAGAATGTACTACTCACTACTTCCTATCTTAGTTTACAAGTCATCATGCTTGACCCTGGCCACCTAAGTGACAGGCCTCAAGGGGACAAACACCTTTAAGGCGTGACCCTTACTGCCAGAGTTCAAGCTGGTGGAGAAAGCATCTCTGTCCGCAAAGGAGCCACTACTTCCGAGATACCTTCCCTCAGACTGTGTGTCAATTTGGCCTCCAAGGGCAGGGGAGGAGAACTCAGGAACAAGCAAAAAACCATCGGGGAGGAAGGGACAGGGCTCAGGCACTGCCCCCCACAGGCCTGGTCCACACACCCTCTGCCTTCCCAACCTGCTAGGTCTCGGCACCAGCCGGCTGGCTCCAGCTTCTCGGGCAGCACCCCCGCCGCAGCAGAGCCAGTGCCAGGTGCAACTCAATTCCTTCTCCCACTCGCCAGGAGACTCCATCCAGGGGCATGCTCTAAGCAGCTGTTGTACCAGCAGCCACCCTAATGGCAGCTGGGCTGGATGGGAAGGAGAGGCAGCGCTGAGCCACACACCCCTTAGCCCAAGGCTCATCAACTATAACAGGACACTTCTGTCACCTCAGCCACTCTCTGCTCCCCTCCCCAGAGGGAAGTCGGAGCACCTGGCCCCGGACCACAGCACACCTCGGCTGTGTCGCCGTCCTCCACACAACTGCTCTTGGCTTCATCTTGCGCGAACCGGACTCTCTTCCTTGCTGGTCCAGCCCGCACGGGCCCCTGCTCCTCCTCGCTGCCTGGCTCAGGGTCGCTGTCCAGGTCACTTTCTGGGGGGCTCTGCCCGGGCCCCTGCTCCTCCTCGCTGCCTGGCTCAGGGTCGCTGTCCAGGTCACTTTCTGGGGGGCTCTGCCCGGGCCCCTGCTCCTCCTCGCTGCCTGGCTCAGGGTCGCTGTCCAGGTCACTTTCTGGGGGGCTCTGCCCGGGCCCCTGCTCCTCGCTGCCGGGCTCGGAGTCGCTGTCCAGGCCACCTTCTGGGGGGCTCCGCCCGGGCCCCGGCCCCCCGTCCTCCCCGGCGCTCTCGCACCAGCCGCCCCCGGGCCGCAGCGCCCCCAGGATGTAGTCCAGCCCGTCGCGCGCGAAGCTGAGCGGCACGGAGCTGCCGCCGCCCTTCTTCCTGCGCTTGCTCAGGCCGAGGCAGCGCTCCAGCTTCCGGATCTCTCGGTCCTCCTGCTCGTTGGCCGCTAGAAGTGCCCGCCTTCGGGCGGCGGCGGCGGCCGAGGGTCCGGGCTTCCCGGGATCAGCCCTGGCCTCGGCCCTGCCCTGGTCCCGGACCGAGCGGGCCTCGGCCTGGTGCCGCCCCGGAGCAGC